ACGTAAAAACATTTAATATAACGATGTGAACTAATTTTTATTCGAAAATATATTTTTGTCACAATAATTTTTATTGATTTTTCCGGGTTTAGAAGTGCCGAAATGTGATAGGAAGATAAAAACTACATATTTTTGTTTGATTAATAATTTGCTATAACTTTTCTATATAACTATTTCCGCGGAAATTTATCATAAGGGTGGTGTAATAGAAAATCTTCAATATTTCGAAGTTTTCCATAGTATTCTCTACTTTTTTGCATACTTTCGGTTTGATTTTAGTTGGTTTGGTTTAGTTTGGTTGTAGTGGGTTTAGTTGGTTTGGTTTGATTTGGTTGTTTTTTTAGGGTTTGGTTTGGTTTAGTTGTCGTTTCTATGCTTTATTGGCAATTTTTTTCAAATTTTCGCATTTATTGACCATAACGATATTAAGTTGATAAGAATAGATATTCATTGATCTGTGTCAAAGGTCGGGAAGAAGATTGATCACTGCATAGTGGTGAAACAAGGCATTTCCGCGGATTTTCATTTTTGTATCGGTGCTTAAAAATAAGTCTACAATATAAAATAATATTATTTTCTTATATATCTCATTTCGTTACTTCTAAACCCTATTCAAAAAAATGGCAACAGCGCATTTCCGCGGAATTTCATTTTCGTATTAGTATTTACAAAGACGTCTAAAATGAAATAACATTAATTTTTTTCAGTAATATAGTACTCCCTGAGGTACCTAAATGACAAAAAATTGTTTTTTTCTTTTTTAACAGATTTCGGCTAAACGAAACTTGACCCAAAATCGCTACGAGTAACGGTTCTCGAGATATATGAAATCGAAATAATCAATACCTGTCATCACTGACATAAATTAAACATGTTGACTAAATAGTTATTAAGGTGCGGTCATACCGACTGCGCCGCTCCGCGCAAATCATTTTTTTAATATATATTTGTGCGCGCTAAAAAAATACACTTCAAAAATACACGTTAAAGAAATCTTTTGCGCGACGCGACGCGGAGCGGCGCAGCCGGTATAAACGCGCCTTTAAACTGAAATCAAAAATTTGAAATGTTTTTCTGCCAAAAGTTCAGCAGAAACTGTTTTATCATTTATGATTAATTTAAAAAAATAAAAATTTCTCAAATTTATTATTTCAGTCAAATAACTAACTATTCGACGTATTTATTTTTTGTCAATAATGTATTTCCATTCTAAATATCTTGAGAACGGTTGCTAGTAGCGATTTTTATCAAGAGGCATTTTTTACGTAAAAAGTCATGGATATGTATATTTTTTCACCTAGTAATTTTATACAGGTACGGACGAAAAGTTATTACTCTTCAGAACAGTTAAAACACATGTAAGTGGCGCCCCCTACAAATAGGCATCATATTGACATCAAAATCAAATTTATCATGTCAAAAAACTCTCAGATACCAATTTTCATCCAATATTGACGTTAGTTCAGAAATTATTTGGAAAAATTCGAAAAAAAAATTAAACTTCTACACCCTGTATATCCGAAACTAAGAATTTTAGAACATACATTTATACGAACTTTTTTACTTATTTTTATCTGCAGAATATGCTGCCGAAGTTTACGGAATACATTTCGGACCACCCTGTATCTCATGCTATGTCTAAGAATTTTCATTTAGTGAATATTACTTTCTATTGGGATATATTGTAGTTGGTATTATTTGTTTAAGGTTAAAATTGGTAACACCCACTTTATATTTCAAATATACAGCTGAAATCTACAAAAACTAGTGATGAGCCAAACCGTGATTTTTTGTTCACAGGCTTACCTGTGACAGCGACTTTGTATTATCTGTGACTATTAACTGTGACTGCGACTTTATGATTATGAATCCGAAAGCACAATCACGGCTAAAATATAAGATACGATACGAATGATACGATTCTGTTGTTGTTGTTATACTAATTTTTATTTGTTCTTTATCCAAGGCCGCTAAAATAGAAAACACTAAACAGTGGGTAAAAGGTATATTAAAAAATAAACGGAAAGATGTAGAAACAAAATATTGTATGGGTATATGTGGAAAGGCAATGTGCATAATTTAAAATTATTTTGAAATGTACAGGGTGTGTCAGAACTGAGATCCATACCAAAGTTATATTTTTTCCTATGGAACACCCGGTATTTTTTGCATGCTACAATAGAATAGACTATTAACACCCTGTACATTACTTTTCATAATTAATTCTTATGCTGAGTTTAAAGGTAGAGAAATAAATAAACTTTACTGAAAAATGCTATTGGTTTCTTAAATTTATACAGGGCTATCAAAAGTTGCTGATCTATTTTAAGGATATATTTTATATAAAAACTTTGTTATTTCAAATGTAACACCCTGTATTTTTTTAAATAAATCGAAGCAGATTCGAATGCTCTTTCAAACTACATTAGGGTTTCCTATATCTATCTAGCTCAGATTTTGAATAAAAAGCGATTTTTAAATAAAATTGTAATCAAGATGGCTGGTGTCGCCATGGCAATTTTTTAGTGACAGTTAGGAACTATTTTCAAAGTCGACATTAGTTTATGGACATTATTATTTATAATTTATAACAGTTTACTTAAATTTACCTACAATAGTTTAATAAGTAAGTATTCATTATTTTATCAAGAAAAATAAAGCAGTATCTGCTAGCGGAACGAATAGATACGTTAGTAGTGATATTATTTTGTGACGAAAATTGCTTCTTGACCTCAAGGGCTTATGCTCAAAGATATCCAAATAGGAATCTTCCTGATAAGAGTTTCTTTGAAAAACTTCTTGTCCTATTTCGCCTGGTAGTGTAGGCAGAAACTTGTCGTTGGAAGTGAAGAAAATGAATTTGCCGTAATTGGCTCTTTTATAGAAAATCCATGTATCTACAAGTCATCGTAAAATAATTCAAAGACTACTTACTTCTTCGTTTTTCTTGATAGAATAATAAACACATGTTTAATAAATATTATTTATTAAACTATTGTAGATAAATTAAATAAAAGTAAACCGGTATAAATTTAAATAAGTCCATAAACAAATTTCGATTTTGAAAATAGCTACAAACTGTCACTACAAACTTGCCATGACAACACTAGCCATCTTGATTACAATTTTATTGAAAAATCGCTTTTTATTCAAAATCTGAGCCAGATAGGTATAGGAAACCCTAATATAGTTTGAAAGAGCATTTAAATCTGCTTCGACTTATTTAAAAAAATACATAGTGTTGCATTTGAAATAACGAAGTTTTTATGTAATATATTTAAAATAGACCAGCAATTTTTGATACCCCTGTATACATTTAAGGAAGGAATAACATTTTTCTGTAAAGTTTATTTCTCTACCTTTAAACTCAGTACAAGAACTAATTCTGAAAACAGGGTGTTAAGAATCTATTCTATTGTAGCATGCAAATTTAAATATCTTTCAATATCTCAAAAACCAAAGATTTTAAACATATTTAACCCTTATAATAAATACCTTTTTTTGGGCCCAAGAATCCAAAAATGAAATAAAATACCGGGTGTTCCATAAGAAAAAATATAACTTTGGTATGGATCTTAGTTCTGAAACGCCCTGTACAATTCAAAATAATTTTAAATTATGCCCACATTACCTCTCCACATATACCCATAAAATATTTTGTTTCTACATCTTTCCGTTTTCGTATAATCAACCGAGGCGAATGAAGTGCAACACCCTGTATACCAAGTACGTCTCAAAAGTGGCTCACCCCCTATAACTTTTTTATTTTTTCAGTTAAAAAAACGAGATTTGGTATATTTGAATTTTATAAATTAGGATTGACGTATTAAGGTGCGTTCATACCGGCTGCGCCGCGCCCCGCAAATCATTTTTTTAACATAATATACTTTTGTGCGCGCTAAAAAAAATACACTTCAAAAGTACATGTTCAAAAAATGTCTTGCGCGGTACGGAGCGGTGTGAACGCACCTTTATATAGTTTTCTGTCACTTCCTGTTTCACCGGAAATGACTACATCATTTGATTTTTAAATGGCACCCTCTTTATTTTTATACCTTATTCGATAGAAAATAACACTCTGAATAAAATGACATTCCATATGTCAACTTTGACATTTTCGCATATGGTTTATTTGAAATTATAACTTGCGGTTTGTAACGAAAATTTGACTCTAAATACCAAGTGTGTGGTATCAAATTATTTGTAAAAAATGCTTTTTCCAAATATGCTAATGAGCCACCTTCGTTTTATTTAAAAAAATTGAGATATGATTAAAAATACAATTTGGGTATTTTTTAACCGTCCAGGACAAGCCACTAAAGACATTAAACGGTCAAATCTATTTTTCCAAGGCTCCTTGATTAAGAACTGGTGTTTTTAACATATGTAGTCATAGTACTCTAGATTGAAATTTAAAATACAATTTTTTATTTAGCGAGAATGTCAAAAGTTGACATATGATAAGTCATTTGCTGTCCTCCTTTCACGCAGTTGAGCAGCTCTGAACTGTTCAAGAACGCGATACTCTCACTCCATTCAAATGAGTCATAAAGCTCCAAAACTGTTCCGCGCCATATGGAGGCACCAGGCTATCGCGCACCGCTCCTTTCAGAACCGTTCTCGAGTAGCCCCAGGCTTTACGCCCGGAACTCGAAGTTCGCAAATGGAGGACAGCAATTCTATTCAGAATGTCATTTTCTATCGAATAAAGTAAAAAAATACCGAGGGTGCCATTTAAAAATCAAAAGTTGTAGTAATTTCCGGTGAAACAGGAAATGACCAAAAACATTTGAATACGTCAATCAATCCTAATTTATATATAATATTATATATAATAACTAATATATACTAACATACCAAATCTCGTTTTTTTATCTGAAAAATTAAAAAAGTTATAGGAGTGAGCCACTTTTGAGATGCACCCGGTATATATTCCACTCCCAATTCTCAGAAGTTTAGTTTCACTTGAAGGTCACTGATTTGTGTAAAGTGCTAATATAAATAATTTTGGGCCACAGTTGTTTTGATTTGGTTCAAACATTATTCCTAAGATTTAAAAAAAATGTAATACTTTTATGTCATAACTTGTGCATTTAAATCACAAAAAATTTAATCACATTTTACAATAAATAATAATTATCGTTCAAAAATTAAAGTAATATTCCAGATGTAATATAAAAATATTTTTTTTTTCAAATTGAATTAAAAAAAAAAATAGTATTGAAAAAAAAGTAAATGAAAACAAGGTAAATGTTCCCCAATTTGGCAGCACAGAAAGTAATTACAAAGAAATATCGTAATATAAATATGATTGGATATTCTATTGACCTTTTGCATCCAAATCATGCAGATAAAAGAAAAAATACAGATACATAAATTATACAATATATATATATATATATACTCTTAACAAAATTGCTCTTATTTCTGAACACATTTTCAATAGTTTCATACCATTTATGGAACATTTCATTCCGATTTTGAAAATTTCAGTCTGGCATCTCTATACTTACAATAGGTAATACTGGCTTCATACTATCTGCTTTCTTGGTATGTGTGTTTTGCTTATCATTTTGTTGTTCAAGTTCAACTCCGTTCTGATGAGGTTCAGTATGATAAGCAATATTACCATATTCTTGTAGCAATGGGCATGCACCTAAGATGAATGGGCAAAAATCTTTCCTTATGCCAAACCACCCTTCAAAAAGTGTCTCCTTATTAAAAAAATATATTAAATACCTGTGTACACTTACACTTGTTTGCCCCTTTGGCACTAAATGACATTAAAATTAAAGTAAAGAATGATATAAAAAGTGGACTAACAACAGCTGTAAAAGTAATTTGAATATCTTCATCTAATTTGTTAGCTAATAAAACCTGTAATTTAAAAATGTAAATAATAAAATCCATAATAATGCTTTACCTATATTTTACCTGAAATATCAAAATGGGAATTACTAAAAAGGTATACCCTAAGGCAGAGTGAAGACTGCTCCTTTTTTGCTGTGCATTAACTTCTGGAGTGCGTAAAAGTATAGCAGCAAATATTATAGTGTATAAGACACCTACCTAAGTATGATATGAAAAAATTAATTAAAAATATAAAAGAGTTAACAAATATTTTACCAATGATAAACACATTACAATCCATAATGGCACAAAAACAACCTCCCACGACCATCCAATGAATCCATCAAGTCTTAAGGCTAAGAATATAAACTGTAATATATTAACAGCACAGAAAAGTTCCAACTATAAAATATAATTTATTAGGCCAGATTAGAAATATGTATATATATCCTCTACCTCAAAACTTCTGTCGTGTTTAACTGCCCATATACAAACTGCTATACTAACAATACTGATAAAAATTAGTGGAATAAAAACTAATATCCATAAATGTCTCGAAGATTCTAATTTATCACAAACCAATAACTCGAACATTAACAATATTAAGTGTAATGCTAATGATATTAACATAGATTTATAATGAATATAAGCTTCACCTTCCAATCTACAAATATATTTAATAGTAAAATTTTGAAAATATGGAAATGAACATATAGTACCTGAAATGTGGGTATCTCCACCACACATAACTTCCTATCATAGCCCCAACAATTACCAACGTTTTCCAAACCCATATTGGAGAAAAAACTGTCCAATATGACCATGTAATATAGTTGTCCAATTTTAATGCAAATATAATAGTAAAAGTTAATAGGCAGGTATGCACAACAAATTTACTAAAAGTAATGAAAAATATCCATTTTAGTTATAACAAGAACAAGATCAAAACTTGACTATATACAAATGTTTATTGTATTTTGTATTGAATAAAGAAGAAAATAAGAGAACACACTCACCTCGAATTAAAATCTTGAAAAACCGTTTGTAAATTCATTTCGCATTATAAATATATACGAAAATAAAAATCCATTATTTTCAAATAATTCTTAAAGTCAACATCTACTAACCAACATCTAGTAATGTAATGGTAAAATTGTAGTCAGTTATGTATTGGAAGAAATCATACACTGTATTTTTGATAGAAATATAATTTCAAAGAAAAAAAAATAAAACAGTATAACATATCCAACTTTATCCCAAACAGAAATTACAGAAAATATTTTATTTTTAAAAAAAAAAATTTTTGTGACATCCCTTTTTAATAAATGACATATGACGTATCCATAAAAACTTAATTTTTGTAGGGATGGGTGTATCGATTTTATTTTCACTATGGTGGTATCGATTCTTTTTCCTTTTTTACGTTTTGGTGTAAAATACAGGTAAAAAACGAAAAAGCTTAAAACCAGGGTTCGGGATACTACATGTGACTTTTAAAAACTACATAAACTACATTACATGTAACCTATGTATATAACTTTCAAATATCAAAGGTTTGAGGTGAGGTTGTAATAAGTTGAAGCTTTAGAAAACACAATGTATTTAAGAAAACAGAAGAAATATGGCTTTAAACATAATATTTACATCATATTATCTCTATTACACCTCATACAAAGGAAAATTATTCATAATATCCTTTAATATCAATACATAGTTTATTAACATAGTTTTCATTTCAAGAAAAACTACACGTAGTTAATAAATTACGTCTTAACTAACTACTTCCGAACCCTGATTAGGTAATGGTGTGGATCAGGGTTCGGAAGTAGTTAATTAAGACGTAATTTACCTGATTAACTACGTGTAGTTTTTCTTCAAAAACTACGTCATTTCCCTTTTATTAACTACATGAAAACTACGTTAATAAACTATGTATTGATATTATGAATAATTTTCCTTTGTATCAGGTGTAATACAGATAATATGAGGTAAATATATATTTAAAGCCATATATTTCTTCTGTTTTCTTAAATACATTATGTGTTTTTAAAGCTTCAACTTATTATAACCTCACCTCAAATCTTTGATATTTGAAAGTTACATACATAGATTACATAAACTACACCCTCTACATAAACTACATGTAATGTAGTTTATGTAGTTTTTAAAAGTAACATGTAATTTACCGAACCCTGGTGTGGATCCGGTGGCTGACCTTGAAACGAGTTTTTGCTGCATATAGTCACAGATACTACGCATGCGCAGATCGTCGATGTTGCCGGAGTGCAAGTTATTTTGGAATTATTTTCAGTAGAAAACAAATAATTTTAATTTTCCTTCATATGTGTTTTTCAGTGTTTTTTTGTCAATATATACCGTATGATCGAAAAAACGGCGTCCAGTTGGCTGGGAAATGACGATTGAGGACATTTCCCATATAAATTTACATAAAAAATGACAGCGATCTTCATTTCATAGTCATCGCTGACGCTATTTTTTTCGATCATAGCAGGGTATATTATTTATATTATTTTAATACTTCGCACAACACGTGAACGCTTATTATGTATTATCATAGTCAATAAAATTAAATAGAAATAAAACTCTAGATTCCTATAATTAATCTAATTGCTCTAGATTATTATGCAACGTTTAAAAAGGGCTTTATTAAAAATTCGGGAAATTAAAAGGGATGTGCCCAAGTTTTTTCTTTTTTTTAAATTTTTAAATGCTGTAGCTCCATGTCATGTTCATAAAAGTTTTTGTTAACATTCCATCAAAACTACGGAGGCCTTAAAAGGCCTTTTAGCCTCCGTAACTAAAATTGTAGAATCAGCTTCAGCAACATTAACAGTTACCTTGTTTAATTCTGTTTATACATATATTGCATTAATTTTTCTGCTACCTTAAGATTTCTCTATTCTTACACCTAATTTAGAATAGCATATATGATTTATAAACCATATTTTTCCTAATGGAAGGATGGAATAGGATATGCAAAATTAAGATATTTTAACATTTATTTTATAATATAGTATTAAGATTAAGAGATAACAAATATTATAAGAAAGATATTAATATAAATCACAAACTAAGTCTTAATTTGGTTTTGTATAAACAGAGGTATAAAATAAGACTCAACCTTCACCATATTGTCAAGATTTGGCATTATTGGAAACAAGAAATTACAGTAAATTAAGAAAAGAATATCAAAATACACGATATTAAATACTGTAATGTATTCTACGACACAATCTCCCTTCTAAAGAGAAAAAGATAAAACATAAAGCTTATTTTAGTCTTATCAGCACACTCTTCGATAAAATATATGTCTAAAATTGCTATTAATCCACTAACTTGATATTTTTAAGAAATTATGATACAAACGTTATAATCAAAGTATATTTTAAAGTATATGTTAGTAACATTATAGGTAAAATGTTACCTCTATCTCCCATTGACGTGTATTGTTCTATAAGACTCGTCATGGTAGTACTTCGATACATCAATACATATAATCAAAACTGTTGTTGCCTGTAAATAACTAGAAATTAAATAACTTGAAAGAAATAAAATAATTCTAATAAGTTTAAAACCATTAAGAAAAAATACGTAAATGATCATTTTTAATTTTAATGTAGATATATAAATAAATATGTTATTATTATTACAATTTTATATATTCATAATACTTTCATTTCACAATCTTCATTATCTTTCTTACCTTAATTTTGGATATCAAGATAAATCTGAAATTATAGAATTTGTATTATTATTGATTAACAGTCAAAAAAAAATTTTCAACTGCAAACATAGATAAATGAAACAAGTTTAGATTGGAAAGTGCCCATAAGGACAATGTAAACACTATTTGGCGCTATTCTTGCAACGGTCGCGACCCAAAACTTTTGCAAAATTTCGGAGCGGTTCGGCTTTTTCCGGAATTATATCGCCAAATATTGTTTATTCAAATTTATTATTATTTTTGTTTAATTTTATAAATAAAATACAGTGTGTTGCATACAAGAAACTTTATTTTCCATAAGGACGCATGTATGAAATACCTATGAAACATTGGAAACCGATGTTATGCCACGATCCACGATGGTTTTTGCAGTTCACAGCACAGCTTTTTAAGTTTTTAATGCCACTTTTTCACAATTATCACCGGTTGGAGTAAATAAAACTTGAATTAAACTCACAACATAGCAGTAATTACTTTGAAAATGGACGCTATAAACACTTTTCGGAATTTCTTTAATGAGAGCGGTTTAGATTTTGAAAGATTATTATGATTTTTGAAGATTCTGACTTTGACAAGAGAAAATTATTTCTGTTTTTGTTTGCCGTTGTTCTTAGCGACCGCTATAGCAGCGCCAGATCGCGTATAACGGTCGCGACCCAAAATAATTTCGCGACCTAAAATTTTCACGGGCTTTCCAATCTAAACTTGTTGCATTTATCTATGAAAATTTCTAAGTTGTTTATTCTAGGAGCTACAGATGCCCGACGCACTTTTGCCGGACCCTGTATTATGAATAGCTTTTTTTTAAATATAATTTTAGGCCACACATACCAACTCACACGCATCTATACCATTGTTTTTGGGTAAAGGTGTGGATCCGGTGGCTGACCTTGAAGCCCATATTTGCTGCATTTGATCATCGATACTACGCAAGCGCACATCGTCGATGTTGCCAAATTGCAGTTTATTTTCGAATTCTTTGCAGTTCAAAATTATTTTTTTTTGAGTGTGAATCAGTAATAATACTAATAATACAAATTCTATAATTAAGTTTATAATTTGAGACTTATCTTGATATCCAAAATTAAGGTAAGAAGGAAAATGAAGATTGTGAAATGAAAGTATTATGAGTATATAAAATTGTAATAATAATAACGTATGTATTTATATATTTACATTAGAATTAAAAATTATCATTTACGGATTTTTTCTTAATGGTTTTAAACTTATTAGAATTATTTTGTATCATCAATATGACACATCATTTATTACATCCAAGTTGTTTAATTTCTAGTTATTTACAGGCAACAATAGTTTTGGTTATATGTATTAAAGTACTACCATGACGAGTCTTATAGAACAATACACGTCAATGGGAGATAGAGGTAACATTTTACCTACTTTGATTATAATGTTTGTATCATAGTTTCTTAAAAATATCAAGTTAGTAGATTAATAGCAATTTTAGACAAATATTTTATCGAAGGGTGTGTTGATAAGACTAAAATAAGCTTTATGTTTTATCTTTTTCTCTTTAGAAGGGAGATGGTTTGTGTCGTAGAATACATTACAGTATTTAATATCGTGTACTTTGATATTCTTTTCTTAATTTACTGTAATTAATTGTTTCCTAAAATGCCAAATCTTGACAATATGGTGAAGGTTGAGTTTTAATCTTATTAGTTTTATATACCTATGTTTATACAAGACTACAAGACCAAATTAAGACTTAGTTAGTTTGTGATTTATATTAAGATCTTTCTTATAATATTTGTTATGTCTTAATCTTAATACTATATCATGCTTTGTCTGGAAAATAAATGTTAAAATATCTTAATTTTGTATATCCTATTCCATCCTTCCATTAGGAAAAATATGGTTTATAAATCATATATGCTAAGAAAATCACATACATTAGGTGTAAGAATAGATTGCTACCGAAGGTAGCAGAGAATTAATACAATATATGTATAGCAGAATTAAACAAGGTAACTGTTAATGTTGCTGAAGCTGATTCTATTTTAATTACGGAGGCTAAAAGGCCTTTTTAAAGCCTCCGTAGTTTTGATGGAATGTTAAAAAACCTGTTATAAACATGACATGAAGCTACAGCATTTAAAAATTTAAAAAAAAAGAAAAAACTTGGACACATCCGAATTTTTAATGAAGCACTTTTTGAACGTAGCCTAATAATCTAGAGCAATTAGATTAATTATGGGAATCTAAAGTTTTATTTCTATTTAATTTTATTACTATGAAAGTACATAATAAGCGTTCACGTGTTGTGCGAAATATTAAAATAATAATATAAATATATACCGCGTACTATGATTGAAAAGAAATAGCGTCAGCGATGACTATGAAATAAAGATCGCTGTCATTTTATATGGGAAATGTCCTCAATCGTCATTTCCCAGCCAACTGGACGCCGTTTTTTCGATCATACGGTATATATTGACAAAAAAACACTGAAAAGCACATATTTATTTTCTACTGAAAATAATTCCAAAATAACTTGCAATCTGGCAACATCGAAGATGTGCGCCTGCGTAGTGTCT